CGCACAGTATCGACTTTCGTCCCTGTTCCTGCATGGCCTTAAATATCTACGACTGTCTTTGTTTCGTCCTGCATTACTATTTGATCATTTGGATGCACGGTGGCGCAAATCCAATGCTCTTGTAGCTGTTTGAGGATTGATACCGCAACTAGTCTTTCTATTGCGCTTTTTCATTCCTCTTACTCAACATTCCTATGATAAACATGATCTGATTGCCTCTACCCCAAACCGAAGTGAGCCCCATTTCATATTGTCCAGCGTCCACCTTACTTCATCACTGTGAGAAAGTCATGTTTTGGTTCTGGCAGCGAATTCTCAAAATTCCTTGCGACGCGCAATTGTACCTTTTAGACCCTACGATTAAACCTATTTATGTCTCTAGAACCATCTTTCATGTTTTTATCAAATCTTCATGTTTCACATCGATTTGGTTTCCTTGTCTGGTGCCTGTCCGGTTGCTAGTTTCGTCCACGTCTCTATATGTGTCATGGTTCCATGACTTGATTTCAAGTTCTTTCACGTTGCCTGCAAATGTTAAGTCTGCACATGTTGTCCCCATTTCTTCTCACCTAATTGTGTGCTTTCGGTGAGTCAGTTTGACGGCCTTTTTCCAGTTCATCCGCACATTTGTCTTTAGACTGCCGACCGTTCAGTTGCGTTCCGGCAGTTTTGGGGGCACTTTTCGTCTCTTCCCCAGAAATCTAGCCATCGAGATTAGTCCGGCCCTCCGAATCCAGTGTTTAATTTCCAAGCACCTCCCATTCTTGGAACTTGCTAAGCCTACTATCTCTTTGTGCGTCCTTTACCACTGCACTATGTCATTGCTACAATGTGAAGCCACGTGCACGTTTCAATGTCGGCCGCTCCAGATGCCGCGTGTTAACCGATCTCGCGAGAGTGACGTGCTGTACACTCCACACATCATCAACAGCAATACATCAGCGATATGAACTGATGCTTCGCTGACCTGTGAAATAAAGAATAATAAGAGGGACAGAGAAGGGGGACTTACCTGAAAATCTTAATGCCCTAAGCAAACATTCAGAGTCAAGGCGCCTACACCTTGTGTTAACAATATACCGTCACAAACAGCTGGCTATTGTGTAAAGATAAGGCGGCATCAGCGAGACAGCTTCCTTACGGCTTTCATTACCCCGGAGATAACTCAGCACCAAACACACTTTAAACAGGCAATCCGATTAGGAGACGGCAGCAGACGCGCCACTGGTGTCAGTTGCCAGCCATGTCCTGTAAAGTTTCGAACCAAGCACAAGGCGAGTCACGTGGACTCTAGCCCGGAAGAGGAGACGGACCAACGGCACTCAGTTTGGTCGTCAGTGACTTCATTTCCCGCTGCCAAGTCAACTTCTGTCCACCTGGAGCCTTGCGCCACCCTACACCTGGCACTCTAAACAAAGCCCTCCTAGGTAAACGGTGACCAGGCATGCGTAGCACGTGCCCAAGCCAACGCAACTTATTCAGTGTTATCTGTTGATTTAGGAAGATAGCATGATTATCACTACCTAGTACTCGCCTTCGCACATCATCGTTGCGGACACGCCGGTGCCATCCGACACCAGCAATGCTTCGCAGACAATGATGATCAAAGACTTAAAGACGCCTCAGATCTTCAGACCGAAGGAGCCAAGTTGCACTCCCATAGAGCAGAACCGCCCTCTCTGTGGCCTTGTATACACGGTCTTTCAGACGAAAGGAAACTCCGTTCTGTCGCCAAAGATGCCCTAGGTTCGAGAAGGCAGCTCTGGTTTTTCCAATGCGTGAGCTGAGGTCAGTTTCTATGCACGCATCATTGCTGATGCAGCTCCCAAGATAAGTGAATTGATCCACCTCAAGCTCCTCATTAGCAAGGGTCAAGGGGTCATAACGTGGTTGGTGCTTTTGCAGCAACACTTTGGAGGTGCGAAGTGTATACCAAATAATAGGATCACTCTAGCAGGCTATTCAGGGTTGATTGTGCCACCGCAACATGGTCGAAAAGCAGTACGATATCGTCCTCATAAAGAAGATCAACTAACCTTTCATCAGGCAGCACTTCAACGCCTACATCGTGAGATTCCGCAAAGGAACACTCCATGATAGAATCCACGACGAAATTAAACAAAAATGGGGAAATCGGACATCCCTGATGAACGCCACTTGTGGTCGGAAAGCTATCCGATAAGCCACCGTAGACCCTGACGCGGCCTGTAGTGTTCGAATATAGAGCACGTAGGATGTTCACATATTTCGTGGGAACACCTTTCCGAGCAAGTATTTCGAACATAATCGATCGATCGACTGAATCGAACACACTCTTGAAATGGAGGAGCACAGCTATTGTCGGTCTGCGGTATTCGTGGCGCTGCTCTAGCACTTGCCGCAAAGTGAATATATGTTCTATACAACCACGTTTTGGTCGGAAACCTGCCAGTTCTTCCCTAGTCCAAGATTACCGTTCCACAGTAAGGCGAGGAACGAGAATCGAGGCCAGTAATTTTGTCACAACTGGCTTTTGACTAATACCCCTTTGGTTAGAACATTCTGTGCGACTGCCCTTCTTTTATATTGCCACTATAATCGATTCGCTCCAATCATCCGGGACACTCTTTATTCTAGATACGTCCGAATAGGGAGGTCAGTGCTTTGCAGAGGACCTCACCTCCATTCTTAAATAGTGCAAGTGGAAGAGAATCCGGGCCAGCGGCACGAAAACGATTGAGGGCTGTGGTCGCGTCTCTGATTTTAGCCTCCGATGCAGGCTAAAAATCTACCCGTCCACGCCTCGTACTACATCACCCGAGTAGGAAGAGGTTCGGGGGCAGGGGGCCAGCTGAACTGATCTTGAAAGTGTTGCGCCTAACGAGCCATACGGCGCTCTTTATTGTGTATCAGTGCACCCGCGCTGTCTGATTGTCTCACTGACGCCTGGTTTCCTGGGACAAGTAGTGCAGATTGGCTGGAAGAGCTTGCTGTAATTGCCTACTGCTTCTGCCTCCTCCATTTCTTGAGCCCTACTGGTCCATCAGGCTTCCTTGTAAGCACGTAGGCTCCGCTTTACTTCGCGCCTAATAGTCCGTCTGGTCATATTTTGCTTAGAGCGATCCTGGATGTTTCTTCTAGATTTCCACAGGTTCACCGACCTCTCGGATATCCAGTGACTTGTGCGGTGACGATGGATAGTACCACAAGCAGATACTCCTTCGTCGTGCATAGCGGCCGAGATCCCATTCCACCGAAGCTCATTGTCATTAGACCAAGACAGTTCGGTATGTAGTGCGTCTTGATAGGCTTGCCAGACCGAGGGCTGAGACATTTTCTCCGTTGCCAATCGGAAGAGAAGCTGGGTGCGCCTCGGTAAAGTTCATGGAAAAGCGACAGCGTACCAAGACATGATCAGAGTCGACGCAGATATTTCAGTACGAGCAGCAATCCAGGATGGAACTACGCCACCTGTAACTTATGGCTGTTTTCAACTTGGGTCCATCGTTGGCCAGCTACAGGAGGACGCCAAGTGGCGTTTCGGTGCCCACTGTCTGAAAGCAGTGCTACTAACTAACAACTGGTGCTCCGCACACATTTGCAGCAGACGCTCACCGTTGTCAGTCCGTTCGGAGTTAAGCCCATAATTACTACCCAGCTGAGCTTATGTAAAGCTCAGACGTCCTACATGTGCGTTCATTTCCCCTGCAAGTACTAGAATATCTGAACTAATAGCACTGTGCAGTACCGCGTTCAGTTCTTGATAGAATGTATCCTTGGCCGCATCAGAATTGTAGTCGGTGGGAGCATAAGCGGAAATAACAAACAAACAGCGTTTTCTACTACTTCGTGAATCCACCTTAGCTGATGTCGTCAAAGGGGCTGCACATAAACGGCTGTTCATCAGAATCCAATCAACCAATGATGACAGCCTTGGAGCTTATAATGATACCTACACCAGATTGACTCGTGAGTGATGCATCGGCGTCTCCGGATGCGTGCAACCAATAACGAGAGGATAAACCGGGTACAGTTAATTCAACAACCCCGTTGGGGTAATTGATTCTATTTTCGGACACACAACGTACATCAATACCCAGTGTGTTCAGGATGCGTGCTAGTGAAGCCTGTTGACCTGTTTGTCTTAGAGTGCGAACGTTGAACGTCGGCATGGAAACGGGACTGTGTGGCCTTATAATGGACTTTTGTCGATAGGCGTCCGATAGGTGCTGTGGGATTGTGGCTGCAGATGGTTCTACTCCAGTGGCACTTCGGTTGCTTTCAATTAAGCTGTGAATTATAGAAGGAAGGTTAGTGATGGGGGTTGGGATGGGAGTAAGAAAAACCGGTGGAAAAGAAAGAAGGGAGGCGCCAGCAGTAGCATATTTTCGCTTATCCGCCCTGCTGTATGCAACAGATAAGGCGACCCTTGATAATCTGCCCGACCGTTGATCCAGGATGAAGTTTATGTTTGAAGAAAAAGTCCTTTTATTTACACTTAAGTAACAAGAGGATGCGCCTTCTATGCTATGACTGCGAATTTGAAACCAAAACAGATGCCTGTCGGCAGAGTTGACGCATACTCCGCGGATCATCATCACGCATGACTCAATAAATAAAGACATGCGTCAACGCAGCCAACACCGACTTTATCGTTCACCAGGCATTACCGGAGACAGGTTATGAGATTAACCCATTCTGAACACAGTTTGCCGCGGCTGTGACCTACAGTGGGTAGCAATTTGTGCCTTGCTTGCACGAACCTAATGCTTGTAGACTGTTGTATTTCCACCTATGCTTCTCTTTGTACTTAATTAGTACCTCAGAATTGCTGCTTTATTTATATAAATGTGCATGTCTTCAATAATTTGCAAGGTTAGCGACACATTGATTGTCCAAGTATTTACCTTGAGTTCCTTTCTACAGGGCATCGGGAACGCAGTGATACCCTTACGTTATCTACTCTTTTCCAGCATTGTTTCTCATCATATTGCTCACCAGCTTGCTCTCTTTCTCTTCAGCTCCCACCCTGGATGTTGATTGGCAATCTCTCACCTCATTCGCCTCCTGCTCAACGGACACAAACATACACGTTTGTGAGTTGGGTCAAACTTCCCCTGTGAAGACTTTCAAAGGTCATGAGGTATGAATTTACTAGTTTTTTCCCGGGTGCATCACTCATCGGGAATATATGTTTTTATATTTTTATTTTAATCATTATTTTACTTTGTTAACCGAATTTTAACCATTTTTATCAGCTTTGATCAAAGTGTCGAATCAAGTTCTAGGAAGCCGGGCGAACTTCTCATCCCTTCACTGTCCCGTTAAATGCTCTCTCATTCTTACCGCTCGTGCACTTCATCTTCATTTATTTACTTTCGAGTCGCTGCTCTGCAACGATTCGCGTTTGGGTACGGAACTCTTTCCTGCTCGTTGTTTGTGATCCCCGGTAGCTGTCAACGCTTGTCCGCTCAATCATTGTATCAGAATTAGGCCGCCGATAGCAAGGTAGGTTTTCGTACGAGTTAGACACATCGTCGTAACCACTCATCTGTGGCTGTTGATTCGCAGCATCTCCTTCATTTTCCGGTTCTCAGCAATTTGTGGTTGGCATCCGCCTTCGTGACTTCCCGTTGTTAGTTTCGCTGCGTTTACTGGTCTCCATTCTGTTGCGGCTGCTACCGCTTTTATTTCCAGCGGCACCATCGACACCTACAGTGTGTAGAAGCTTAGGCCTCTGATGAATGTTAAAAACACCTATTTAGCTGCTTCCGTTTCCAACTCTGCCTGCCACTGGACGCCCATGTCCACAATGGTTCTCGCTTCACCACGCTCCGCTTCATCCACACATTTTGTTTCAAATGTTACCCCGGAGGAATAAGTCCAGGAGACATGCGTGTTGTAGATGGAATTGATTCGGTTTTTGCTCTGACTTTCAGCATGCACATCATTCTTATAAAATTGTGGGAACATGCGTACCAGACGTACATGAGGCAGTGGCTGGGCAGTCACTCGTTCCATCTGGGTTGAACTGTTCTGAGTCACTCGTCTTCGCCAGCAGCGATTAACAGTCTCCTAGATGCAGTAATTTAGTTGGTGGTTTTAAACAGCATTCGCATCAAGCGCAGCTAGACCTGAATAACACAAAGAGATGAGTGTCCAGCACACATTAGACATTCGATTGTGGCCGACTGATGCGACAAGGACCAAACCCCAGCTCCCGCGCTCACACAACGGGAGTGCGAGACCAGCATAGTTTACAAATGCATGCGCTCATATAAGTTGTATACGCAAGTGAAACAAATGCGCGGACATGCAACCTGCTTGCATGGCTTGGGATTCTGAACAGTCGCTCGGGGGCCTGCAGATGCATATGCAGATTAACCACGGATCATCTTCTGCCATGTTTTTACTCATTGAGCTGTAACCGGTATCATCCATTCTGTGACTCGGTTCCTTTTGCGCTCACGCGAAATGCTACTTACCATACATCGGCTAGTCCCAACTCGAAGGTGTGTCAACTCGCAACTAAACATTTGGCGTGCAACGGTCCGTCTGTAAAATAGGTCAGTGAGCATACGGCCGAGCCACATGTTGTCTTCTCGCACAGCTACTTTCCAGCCGATCTACGATCTCCTTGTGGGTGGTCTCAAATATGTGCTGACATGGGTATCAGAACAGTTATTTACCGTAATGTCATCCTGCGTGTGGTAATCCCTACTGGGAACAGAGGTAAGATGATCAGCCGTGTATAGTAGTGCATGAATCAAGAACTTTCTATCAAGTCGCAGTGCTGGGGGCCTTTTTTCGCTTTTTGGCACACGAAACGGAACGCTCGTTAAGCGGAAGCTTGTTTTGTCTCTGGATCTTGTCCTGACTTCTGCGCTAAACAGGCGACGTCCTCGTAAACCATTTTGTGTACCGAGTGACATATGCTCGATTTCCCATTCTCTCTGTTTGTGGACCATCAGGCGTAAGCACTTAATAGTCCGGCACAATGAACTTTGTCAGTTTTCAACCTCAACGCATTACCGAAGCGTGCATGTTGGTAACTTTACCTTTGTTAGCCAAGTAGTAGCAGCACAAATCAGCGAAAGCAACTGGCGTTCAGTAAATCCGCTTAACTCAACTAGGTTGAAGATGGGAAGTGTATGCAATCTCGATTTCGATACTCGACACATGTACTCACATACAGTCCAACCTGCCATGGCGACCAGCCAAAAAACATCCCCAACGTTTTCTCCTATGAGTAATATCTCTGTGCATGAACTTGTTTCTGGCGACCACTTTTGTCCGTGCTTTGAGTGGTCACCCTAGACAGCTTTGACTGTATTGTTAACAACGGTACTTTCCTATGGGCTTGACTTCTATAGGACGAAGGACCCCCTATTCTACCGTGCTGGTTCTCATTAATGGTTTTACTGATCCTCTTGCAGTTGTGCACTCTACCATCGATACTAAACAGCCGAGTAGCCTTTCATGTCTTATCTGGGCCGTGCCCATCTTGTCCTCTTATCCTGTTTCACTTTTTTCATCTCATCGAAACTAGTCCTTTGTCTGCCTTTCTGCACTGGCCTACATGAGCTAAAGTCCTGTGGGAACGACTAATTTCTGTAACTTCCGGTGCTCTGTTTTACTCCGTATTTGTCCTTTTTCTCAGACCAACGAAGGCTGCACAACATATTTTTGCGCTACATGTTTTTTTCATTTTTATTTCTGTTCCCTAGAATGAGGTGAACGCAATCAAATGGGATCCAAATGGCCGGCTCCTCGCCTCATGTTCCGATGACATGACCTTGAAGGTGTGGGATATGCATCATGAACACTGTGTCCACGATCTCAAAGGACATACGAAGGAAATCTATACTATCAAGTGGAGCCCCACTGGCCCCGGTACAACCTACCCGAACGCTGCCCTGTGTTTGGCCAGGTTAGTGTATCTTGTTTTTCGCTCTTCGGGCATTTATTTGTTCCCATTCGTTTTGATTAGTCCACGGTTTTGAAAACAAAAACGCTAACTTGATTCTTCATGCACATGACCTTATGATCAGGTCGTTTGCGTTTGGAATTCTTCATCATAACTGGCTAGATGATGTGCTTCAATCGTGCAAGGCTCTGTCCATCTCATTGTTTTGGTCGATTCATACAGCGTTGGTTTTAATGCTTCAAAAAATCCACCTTTCTAAACACACGCTTTTCTACATCTATCAATTGAGACGCTGTACGCCCTTGCTCAACAGTCTAATCAACTTTCGCTTTTTGTCATTCTTATCGTGTTTCGCTCTTTAAGGATTTTTTGAATTGAAATGTTACGCAAATGGCACACGCTAATTATGATGTTTAATCATATTGTAAATTGTATAATCACCTTGATGAGCAGAGAATACAATTCTAAGTGCGTCCCAGTGTATAGGGTACATCTGTTTTTTCTTGTAGCTGGTCATCCACTATATATTTAGTGCATTGCGCTCATTAATCTGGAGGTGTTAAATAGGCAACTACAATTACTCATTATCAATACACACCTCAACGGTGCCGCAGTCCAAGAAGGCAAGATACAAAAAACTACACCAAAAAATTTCAAATCCAGATAATGTACTGTTAAGTATTATATTATGTAATTCGTATGAGATCGGAATTGGAGGGGAATCTAAAAGGGAGGGGGTGGACATGAAACACAACACAAACGCCACTGGGGCCTGCTCTTCGCCATATAAGCACGTGTGTTTAACCAAACATGTTCATCATTTGATTGCTCGCTGAGTTCGGCAGCAGGTTGACTGCAAACGTTTCGTCACCACTCGAGGTGACATCGTCAGTGCGCGTGTATTTAGCCGAGTGGCGCTTACGAAGCATCATTGTGTGTCAGTGATCGATCTCCTAGCCGCTAGTCTGAGTTTGGATTGTTCGATGAGCACATGACCATAGAAATCGATCTCTGATTCTCACCTCGTAGTGTACGCGCGTGTGACTCTTCGCTTGTCCTCGTTTGATACAGTAGTCTAGCGCTCTGTTCCGTTAGATTTCTTCTGTTACTTCGGGGATCTTTCATCCGTAGTGCTGTATATCCAGCATCTATTTCGACGTGTCGGTTTATTGAACTGTCGGTAGAATACCATGCTTCCAAGAATTCTCTAGCTTGCCTTGCAGTCAACCTGCCGAGCTCAGCGAACAATCAGACAACCAACTGAACACCCTGAGCTACCAACATCTGCTTCTATATCGCGCGTGTTCATCATCCTTCGGACCCCGGCTAAGCAATCGCGATGCACCAACCGACGCCAACTTCGAAGTGAGAGTTTTCATTTCCCTCGACCAAGTCATTGCTTGTCGTCATTGCTTGCCGCACCCCCGGCGCGCAGGAGCCGGTGGGCTGGCATGCGCAACGCATTTCCCAACCATCAGAGCCGGATACGTGACATAATGATACTGAATGGTTCACTCGCTCTTCCTGCACCAAATACGCGACGCCGAACACATTCATTGCTCACGCGGTGTTCCCACCGGACATGAGCTAAGCTAACTAATCTTGCTCTGGACGGATTCTGAATGGGACAGCTGTTGATCGTGTTTGCCTATCTCTATTTTACTATTTGAGCAGTGGTGTAGTGAAGCGCCCAAAAATTTCTGATATTTTAATTTTCTCTTCCTTTCATACTTGCTACTGCTTGAATTGTACCGGTGAAAGGTTATTTTTCGAAGCACGCACTTTTAGCATAATTAACTGTAGCGCAGCCTGATCTTTGTGAGTGTATTTGGCTTCCCTGTATAATTTGGCACTGTTCGCTCCATTTCGAAAACGTTCAGGATTTAGTACTCTGACTAGTGCCATTACGGTATTAGACCCTTCGTTTGTCATCTGGGACTTTACCTCAGACGTTGAGGTCATCCGGAAAATTTGTTCAACCCATTCAATCCACTGCAAAGCACGTAACATTCACCTGCACTGTATTTGCTCTCCCTCTCTAAGCGTATCACAATCACTTGTTGGTTCAGTTGTGAAATTGTTAACATCCCTGTAATGGTGCCATCTTGTTGGAGAGAGTCAGTAACTGTGCCTTGTTTCAGGAAAGGTTCGTATGCCTCATGGGCTAGTCACAGAGAGATCAGTCTGGCATCGGTTGCTTCCAAAATACTAGCACCCGTCATACTCCCCAATCTAGCCCTAACGCGTGGAGCTACAAGGGGGTGCAGGCTGGTTTTTGCCTCAGTCGGGATGTGTAGCTCAGTTCCTCGAGCATCGCCATATTTACCACAGACCCACCATCATCGCTTTTCCAAAACATTCGGTCTGCATTCAACTCTTTAGACCCATCTGCTTTGTGGCGAATCCTGCTACAGAATGGAGTTCGCGTAAACTATGGCACTATAACTCGGGCACTATGCCTCCATACTTAAGGCAGGGTGAGAGCCTACGGCAAGCTTTCTGCACTCTTCCTGCTACTAATCGTGTGTGACAAGGATGCTCTGTGTCTCCGTTTCTTTTCAACTTTGCAATCGAAGATGTGCTCTTAGCAGCGTTAGAAGTTTTGTACCATTTCAGCACCAAACTCCGCACAAGTCATCTCGCAGCCTTTTTGGATTACTGTGACGACTTTCATGATATGCAACAGTTCCTTGACCGGCCGGTGGTTGTGATTTTCTCCTTCCAACTGTGGACTACTGTTACAGGATTCTTACGCAGTCATTCCTCAGCTCACAGTCAGATGTCCACAGCTCGAAAACATGCATAGTTTTGTTTATCCAGGGAGCAGCACTTCTACCAACTGCGCTATTTGGCAGCAAGTATCCCTTCATGTCTGGAAAACCCGGTCGCTTTTTGCCAACTTGAGGCATTTATGGCGTCGTTGCGATATTTTGCTTTCCTTACATGCTTGGTCTGCAATGCCAGGGTACGCGCAGTATCATTGTATGGATGCGAATCCCGGCTTATCTGTGTTAATGACATGCATTGGCTTTCGGCCTTTGATAGTGGCTGTTTGCGGGGGATTATCGGTGTATGGTGGCAACATAGGGTGTGCAGTGGTGATGTCAGACACAGCATCTTGGGCAAGACGGATCTTCCTCTCTGTGAGCTTGTTCTTCTGCGACAGTTGTGATGGGTTAGTCACGCCCATCGCATACTTAACGAGCGTTTTAATACACCCCGCTCTATTTGCGCTCGCATGACGGCATTGGAAGAGTGTGCATGGAGGCTTGCCGATCATTTAGCAACAAAGCTTAAACTCATTTACATCTTGTCTAAACATTACTGGCCCTATGAGTCTGCTCGGTTAGGGACCCAATGAGGAAGGATGCCAGACTTACAGCACTCGACGACAAACCGATTGCAATGGAGATAATGTGTTAAGGTCTGTCTACCGCATGCGGTTCCGGTTTTTGCAGAGCTCCAATTTTGTGAAAATGCTAACCTGCAAACACAATACCAAGAGCCTGCTTTACAATTTGGCTATAGTTTCTACCCCAATCAGCGAACTAGCGCTGTGCGCGACCGGCTCCTCTTATCATTCTGGAAATGTGTCCTAGGAGACTGCACAGACTCGTAACTGGATGCATCCGATGCCACGATAATTGACAGCTTTTGGTCGTAGCGCTTTATCATCAGCTCTAAACTTAGCAACGTTCTGATCTTATGGAAGGCTTTTTGACATTTGCTGCTCCAGATCCAAGAAACATTTTTCATTAACAACCGGTTAAAGGGGGGGGTCCACAGGGGTCATGCTGGACGGTAGATAGGAAACATAAGGTTACCACGTCCTTAGGTGGACGCATGCTCTTGATCCTTTTGAGGTTTGCCAGATCTTATCGTCGCCCATTTTGATAGTTGATAAAATCAAGATACTTAATGGACGTTATGAAAACCTCACACTTGTCCACTCTCAAACGAAATTCATACTCTTTTATTCTGCGAAGCACATGTTCCGTTCGCTGGTGCGATTCCTGCGAGTTATATCCCGTTGTGATTACATCGTCCAGATGCTGTAGCATCATGTCCATGATCAGCTGCAAAAAGCCTGGACTGACTTGACATCAAATGACAGCCGAGTATACTGGCATAGTACTCGATGCGTGTTTATCGTCAGCAACTCCCATGATTCTTCCGACATTTCGACCTGAAAATACGCGTCAGAAAGGTCCAGTTTGGCAAAACACTTGTCATCGCTTAAACTTTCAATAAGTTTCTCAGGTGGGGATAATGGGCACTTGTGGTCTTTTAGCTAAGCACACAAGTTGTTTCTAGTTTTATGTAGTCATAAGGGGAGCATAATTGACGAGTTGGTTTGAACTACAGACGAAAGGGTCTTATACGGTTATTCTCCTCTTTCAGCTCGTCTTAACTGCGACTCCTACTCCAGTTCTCCTACGAAAGTGCCATCCATCTATTCATTGTGTCCGCTGCACGATTGCACTAGATGTGCGGAGCCATATCTGAACGTGACTGTTCCTTTTTGTAAGCATATTGTCCTCGGCAGTTCGTTTTAACTTTCCGCTTGCTTCAGCAGGAATACCGCAGTTCGGATTGTTACTAATCGGTGTTAATAATAATGTGAAAGTAAGGAATTAGCCTCCGATTTCAGATGCATCGACGTGGTAGAGACGAACATCCGTTGAGAACGTGTGTGGGCGCGTCATTTGCTTTTTTTTGCTGCAATAAACTTAAATCGCCACTATTCCGCCGGCTTGTAACGGCTTATAAAGTTTACCCTATAAAATGAACTGGGTATGCACCTTATATTCTATCTTTTGCGTGTTGTGTGACATCTCGTATGTACTTCCTGGCTCTACCTCTTACGGGAATGTATTGCTTCAATTATAAGCGAACCAGTGTTCCTTCCAAAACAACCTAAACCGCCGGAGCTAATTGTAAGTAGCCCAGCATCTACGCCCTGCTTGTCTTGAAGAAACAAATTCTCATCCCGGTCGCAGTTATTGAGGCTTGTTGAATCCGGGGCCCATCAACAATGTCACATATGCACGTCGCAATATATACCTTGTCGATGAACCACCGGACAACCCCTTAGCAATGATTACATAACAAAGGTATTTTCAGATATATGACATTGTGTCTCAATTCAGGAACGTTGTTTTCATGGAATCTATCTTGAACTCATTTAGGAGGCTTGTGCTAGGCCAAGGACAATGCTCTCCAAACAATTTCTCACGGTCTACACTACAACAAGACCTGCACCGTCTACTTTTGAAGGATGTTCAAACGAGCCGTCCCCGTTAGCTGTCTCAGGCTCTCACAACGCACTTTGACTATGACACTCAGGGAATTTAGATAAACCTAGATTTCGTGCTCCCTCTGAATCTTTCCATTATTTCATTTGTTCCTAGCAATTCATCTTTACTCAACATTCGTATTCCTTTGCCTGATATTGATAAGGTAAGAACCAAGCATTTGCACAGTGACAGGCTGGTTTCATAATCACTGTCCTCTCTTGCCACGTCGAATGCAATGTTTTCTCATGGCCACATCGTCCAGTTCTCTTCATGTTTCCTATCGCTGGCACCGTTGTTCCTCTACCCACTCCGTTTCAAACATCACTGTTCTGCCTAGTTCTGGTTATCGTCGATGTTAGTGTACCGTCACAGTGTCCTTTTGGCTAACCTGTCTATCCACCATACTGCGCCTTTATCGATTTTGGTTATTCCCCCATTTCCGATTTCGCCATCGCCTAGTTCTCGCGTGCGCTAGCCCACAGCCTGTTTCTCACATTGAACGCCAGACACGCTGCATACCAACACTCGAACGCTGTGTCAGTTCACTCGCCTGTCCGACACACCTAGGCAATTTCCGTTACTGTTTAGGTAGATGACCGTGACAATTGCTGCATCAGTTATAGATCGGATTCCTGATCGATTTATGGCTACCGGGTATTTACCGCGAAACGAAACTCTTTTGGGCTTTCCATCCTCTTACGTTACAGGACTGGAAAAACGCTCTCTGGAGTGCTTGTTTTCGAGGCGTGTTGGATTTAATGCGCTGAGTCTGTTTGCATTTTCCTGCTGGTCCCGTTTCCCTACACATTGGTTACTATTTCGTGGTTATAACCTGTATACTTTCTTACTCTACTTACCAGGGTGCTGCCCCTTGCAGTTCCCTTCTTTTCAAACAAATGTTGGTATACTCTATTAGTGAGAGTGTTTGTGCACATGCCCCCCGTCAATCGTGCCTTATTTCTTTCATTCCCTGATCCAGTGCTAGCTTCGATTCCACCGTACGATTATGGGACGTGGAGACTGGTAAATGTCAGCGCATCCTTTCAAAGCACAGCGAGCCGGTGTATAGTGTCGCTTTTAGCCCAGATGGGCGATTGCTAGCCACGGGGTCGTTCGATCAGTGGGTTCATATATGGAACGTTGGAGTAAGTTTCTTATTGTAGGTTTCACTTTCTCATGTTTTTCCTGTTTATTCGTCTCCACTGAATCTTGGCTATTCAAATCTCCAAACCTGTATGGGGCATCCGCACGTGGCCTGTATCGCCAACATCAGGTGTTTGCTTTAGTTCCCTCCCAGTCCCTTGCCCACGAAGAACATTTACCCATCACTGTCCACTTGGCTCTGCATCTTATTATCTCAATTTTTGCGCTGGTGTGACGGATTTAGCAAAGGGACTAGGTAATGTTCGCTTTTTCAGAATCACATCCACCGGTCTTAAGTAGCCATGGGTCCTCGCTGACGCGATTCTCTACCGTCAATGAGACCACTGAACATAGCTGCTAATCAAATGACCGTTCAGTTGATTTAACCAGTCCAACTTGTGTCTATTCTTTTCTGACACACCGGTCCTTTTACATCGGTGCTCCTCCGTTGCGTTCGAACATCAGTAGTCTTACGTCAGTATTTCTTGCTATTACCTGGTCACTGTGCTTCCACCTCTTAGTAACCTCGACCTTTGTGATAATTGGGTTAGAAGAGGGGCATATGCCACCTTGCATTGTTAAGCGCTCCTTCATGATCAAGACAGTTCACCTTGCAGCCAAAATATAACTGTCACCACCTGAAGATAAAGCGAGATCAAGCCGACTGCTTTCTTGCGGACAGCACTTGAAAATCACCCCCTTTCATACAAATAATTTGGTGATACACAGACCTCAAATAATCACCGAGTTCCATCCCCTGCATTTCGTATCCAGCAGACAAATACCATTCTCTTTAACGTACTTTGAGGCCACATAGCATATATGCGACTTATCAACTAATGCTTCTCAATTTAACGGATATGATTGGTCTCCACACTGTACTTTAACCCCGTACTTCATCGATGTGGTCTCCATGGTGTCACCAAATACAGACTGCTCCGTGTGCAGCAGTACACCAGGAATTCTCAGATATGTCTCATCGTCGACCTTCGTCAGAGATTTTGAGATCATAGAAATGGACTATCCCTTCGACACCAGGGATCTCACTGGTTAATTAAGACCTAGTTTCCACAATACGTGAACACATTTCAGCTGCCACCAACTTACCGTCTCTGATTCAGCCGCCACGGATATGTGAATCAAGGAGCCCCGTCGGCCGTTGGCCGAGTGGTTTGCACACCTAGTTTGTAACCATAAGGTCACCGGTTCGAATCCACGTAGGTATGGGCAACCTCACGGTATACTCAGCCCGCGCACGACTCGTGGTGGTTGTGTGGCAATGAAGCGCCGTTACGGCGTACAGCTTGCGATTTTTTTACAGTCTCCAGTCTCTTGTTGCTAAGGCTTATGGAGGGTGGCAGCAACCGTATAGATGCCTTTGGCATATATCAAAGAATAGGACCATTCCATAGTTTATCGATAGTCTACTACGCTGCATATCGATCGTCAATCGTCACTGTAATATCCAGCTTCCTGTCGGGTATCCAAAAACCCTCTGTGATGAACTCGCCATGTAAGTTGGTTTTTTGGGAGATAAGTAAACAAACCATGGATAAATTCACTTGTTGTCGGAAACACGTCTGACAACTCACTGCAGATTCTGTTATGATTTGAGGTGTTCGAGTGTGACACGAGCTATTTGCTCGTATGCTTACTGGAAGCACGTCAAACAGAATGCGGCTGCTATACTCGTATCTCCGCATTTAACTGAAACGAACTTTTCCGGTCCTTTTCGAATAGATTATTTGAATCTCCACGCTGGACATCTGCATTGTCTTGAACTAGCGAAGACAAAAGAGAATCCGAACCTGCTTTTTAACTTCGGATGGTGAACTTAGGATAACTGATCATAGAGCGATCTACGTCCCAGAGACATGAAGCCAACTCCACTGGCACTCAAACGGCCAGCCTATACTTTCTATAACTGAAGACTCCAGTGCTCTCCGTCTAAGTCCTACTGCTTTCCGAATTCCTCAGGCTAGCGACTTGGGTTAGTTGAAAGGCGCTGCCGTAGTCAATCCTCGCTTCCATGTCCACCCAATCCCTTGCCTTATGAGCTCTTCATGCTTCTCTGGCAGCTCCTGTACATCTATCTGGTTCCCCGTTGGGTTGCATTGTGTTCTGTCCCTACAGGTGAACGATTCCAGAATGCTCACTAATCTTTCGTATATCCAGCTTCGTGTGCGATCACGGTTTGCAATATTGTAAGCATAACTTCAGACACCGTGATTGGTAGTCTAGCCCATGTTTCGCGCTGATAATCAGCATCTTCGGGGTAGGTAGGTCAATGTCTTGCATATGTGTGTGGCGAAGTCCGTTTCCAGATTTACCTGTCACAGGACGCCTGCGCCTACTGAGATGTCTTATGTAGGTTTCACTGCACCACTCATAGTACCCAAACTATATTCCTGGTCTAAATTCGATGGCATAGCACTGGGAAGCACGTGGATGGTAGCCGCGAGTTATTCGGATCCAGCTCACAATGTAATCGTGCACATCATCCTTATGGCATTCGGAAATCATCCATACCAGGCGTTCACAGGGCAGTGACAGTCGAAGCCCGTTCCATATTGAATGGAACCACTCTGAGTCTTGGCATCGTCTCAAACACTGCATCCCGTCTCCTTCAGCAACGATTAACGGTAATCGAGATGACAGTTTTCACCCCGTATACAGCTCGTCAACGTTCGCATTAGATGCAATCTGGTCCAGGGTATTAATCAAATAAGACATTCAAACATGTGACAACAGAACTACTAACATGTGCAGTCCAATTGCAGCGACGATGTAGCACACTTGTCACGACTGCCACATTGCTGATCTTGTATAGTGAATGGGACTGGAAGCAATGCATTCTATATCGTTCTCTCGTGGCCGTGGTGAAGAATAACCACGTTGGTGACCAACCAACCGGCCGTGGCATGCGCAACCTCGTGCTACAACCCGACGTTTGTTCGCGGCAAACTCTCCTTGATCATGTCCAGGTGGCACAGCTTTGGTATGTACAAGCTTCGCTTCCCTGCACTTAGTTGGCCGTATCGCAAGTGCTTCGGTATCCTCGTCGCATTCCTACGGCAGACATATCCGAGCCATTATAGGTACCTCAATACCATTATGCAAAATCTTTTGTACATGCCGCTTCTACGAAGCACTTTCGTGTCAACGACTCTGTAACACCAACGAATACGCAGTATCCGACGCAGGCATTTCTGATGAAATCACTCCAGCTACCCAATACTCTTCTAGTACAGCGTTCATAATTCGCCTCCGTGGAAGAGAACCATGACTACAACTAACGTATATGTCATCAGCTTAATTCCGAAGGTATGCTTCTGATTCGTCCAAGCCTGATCTTTCAGCTTGCCAAAAGTCACGCACACTTTCACGTCGTTGCACAGCCTGTTGACAGCGTGCTTCAGGAATAGGAGACTTTTGATTAACACTGAACATAGAGATCTCAAATGTATACATCTGTGTTGCTCCATCGATATTTTATCGGGCGCGCACGCAGAATGTCATTTAATACCGCGCACTGTAAGCGCAGTTCGGCTGTTTGATCCTTTAGTCAAGTGTCACGCGCTCTTGGAATTTGTACGTCACAAACTAGGCCTCGAAAACTTCTTGAATTCCGACACAGATTTCGCTTTGAGTATTGTCTCGGGCAAACTGCTCCAATTTTTCAGCAGGACACTTGAAGTATGGGTGAACTACCCGCTTCGTGTCTAGTACCACAAGCTTGTATCGGTGCCCGCGAGTGTTGCTTGATGCGCGCACATAAAGAGAAGCCATCTCGGCATTGGGAAGTCACGCAGAACCAATATCCGATGCTTCTTTATGAGGTTCGCTCCAAACCAAAAATACGACAGGCTGTACACGGGTGATCGAACATTGGGCAAGTGAACCTTATTCGATCATTGCTCTTATGATGGAAGTGAAAAGTGGCAATCTCTTCAGACGAAGTGCTGAAGCTACTTTTGAGCAGTCGATTTCCGTGCAGCGTGCTCGTTTTTTCCAAAGACTTCAAATTTCAGTTTGAGTATGCACCTTGATCCTTCACCGAGACTTCGGGATGCAGCCGGTCAGAGTGTACGTAAGCCCACCACCACTCATCTCCAAGCTCATAAATAACGACTTGACTGAGCTGATCGGCAGATCGATCTCTTCGAACCACGTGGACATGCGGTCGAGATCACACTGAAGTATGTTGTAGTCACCGTGCACATCAATTACTCTCCACCTCTTGTGGTCGTGTGAAAACATGTCACAAGGCGACCGAGGAAGCTAAGGTAATTCCTTGACGTGGATCAGGAACAAAATAAGCCTCAGTACTGTACTTTGGAGCACACTACTAGTGGTAGGATACCAGTCGGTTAGATGATCATCCACCTGTACCCTCCACTTCCGCTCAATAAGGAAATAGCTGCTCCACTTGTTTTGTCAGCCACCAACGCCTCATCCTCTACTTGTGTAGGAGGACCTCATGGTTCGCTTTGTCGAACGCGTCACCATCAAGTTGGTGGTGAACAAGCGACCTTTCTTGAAACCGTGTTGTGCAGGCGTCATGAGGTTTTTCTTTTAGGAGGAGGACCACTTAGGGAACCAAACACACATACCTAAAATCGGATGCTTAACCCAGAAATCCGCAAGAAAATACTATTACTGGATCATAAGTGTGTTGCAGAACAGCCTACTTCCATCAATGGTTATTAAAAACTGACGAACGAACAACGTTCAGGAAGGTCAACCACACCATATACGTACCACTGGCATGCGCCATGTTTTTGCCCTGTCCCTTCTGGCGAAGGTCCTCTTCTTATCAACCAATCAGAGCGACCTTTTGGACCATAGCACTTTCGATTCCAGCAGCTGCAGCAGACCTTTCTTCACGATCTCGAGCATCTTGGCCAAAACTGTCTTCAGACAGTTGGCTAGTATTTTACCACCCTTCGTTACCGAGCATTTCCATTCGCTCCGCAATGCACTCGGACAGCGACCTGTTGAA